AATTTAATAATTATCAATTATTTTTGGATGAATAAAATATAATATTTAATAAATTAATAATATATTGCATTCATTTAAACAATATATATAACTTTAAAATTTATCATGATTTTAAAATATTTTTTGCCTAAATTTTTTCATCTTTAATTTTTTTTTTTATGAAACTTCAAATCAAAGCAAATAATTAAGTTAAAATATAGCATCAAACCTAATTTACATCAAAACTAAAATTAAATCAATCACTTTAATTCTAATTTTTATTTTAATTAATTTTGAAACACACCTCTAATTATATAATTGATTTGAAGTTTCATAAAAAAATGATAATTTCATTTGTGACATAAAACCACCATAATATTAACATAATATATTTTTTTATTATTTCGATGGTACGAAAGATATAGTGTAGTATTCATCTTGATGACAATTTTTAAGGACTTAGTTTAATAACGTATTTGGAAAGTTAACTAAGATTAGATGCTAAGTTTTAGTTTGTGACAACTTTCTTACTGTTTTTTAACACAGCTTTTAAGTACAAAAAAAATTTAAATTATAAATTTTATATTAGAAAACTGCTTTAGAAAGCAATAAAAAAGTTGTCCCAAATTATGTCTATCATATCATTATAATCATTTATAAATACATTTAGTCATAAAAATGAAAATTATTATAAACTATTCATTATTTTAGGTTACTTACTATTTTTTATAAATATGAATAAATACTTTAAAAGATATAGTCGGATACAAATTTACTCTATACATTGAATACAACTATTTGTAATAATAAGAAGGGAAAGTTCAAGTAAATTTATATAGATGTTAAACTAGATGATATTCCAATAGGTCTTGGATTAAAAAAATAAGATTTTAGATTATCATCCTAATGATTGAGATGTACCTTGATGAGCTTACTTACAAAAATGGATCATGCCAATCTTATGACAGTGTGTTCCTCTAATAACAATTGAAAATAAATTATACAGATTTAATCCAACATAATTTAATAATTACAAAAACTGGTTCGAGTGATGTATTATGAAAGTTGTAACTTATTGCTTTTTTTGATATCTTGATTAGTGAGATATAGGCGAATAAGAAAGCAATGATAGTCTTCAAAATTAATATTTTTATAAATTGGAAGAAGAATGATAGAATTTAAGTTCATGTTAGTTATGTTAACAGTTGTGTGCAAACAGCAGAAATAAAATCAGAATCAAAGCACAATCAACACAAAAAACACGTAGTTCTACGTGGTTCGACAAAGATGCATACGTTCACGGGGAGGGGATGATTTCACTATATTGGAGAAAATAAGTTAAAATTGGCTCACTCTGGCTCATCTCTAATACAACAATCTTCAAACCCTTAATTTATAGATTTGAGACAAAATAATTAAAGAAAATATAATTAATGCAATAATATGGTAAATCAAATCATTGCCATCATTGGATCCAATCAAAGCCCAAATCAGATATTCTAATTAATGCATGAATTAGCCATAAATACTTTAATAATCAAAGCTTATTTAGATTTGGAAAGATTTTCAAATTAATAATATCCACCTCATCTTTCATTTTAGAAAGTGAAAAATGACAAATCAGGCTCCAATATTAGAATGGCTGCATCAGAATGGTTGCCAACATACCCCCCTCCCCCTAAAGGGATCAAGTCAGGCATAGTTCTTCAAAATAAGTGGACAATCAGTCATGAGCCCGAATGTTCAGCAAACTCCTATAGCAGTTGAACTTCTGAACTAGTAGTACCTTTGTGAGCATGTTTACTGGATTCTTCTTCATAGCTATCTTCTTCAACTAGACATTACCTTTAGCAATCAAGCCCTGAATAAAATGATACCTTACATCAATATGCATGATAGTAACAAATAACTACCTCTTCAATACCAAGCATGCATCAACTGTACCCTTCATATACATCATGATACTCTTCACAGTTTGTCAATGACTCCTTCCAAGATTATGTATGAACTTGCTCACAATGTCAACTGCTTGTGCAATATCTAAATCGAACTACTCTAAAAGTAGACACATTGTGTTATAAGTGTCAAATGAACACGGGTAGAGGGATACTTAACCTTTGTGGAGAGCACTAGCCTCATCATAATCAATCCCTTCCAGTTGTGCAGAGCCTTTTGTCGCAAACCTAGCCTTGTATCGCACATCAGCTCCATGAGATCCTTCTTTCTTTGCAGACACTCATTTCCACTCAATGGATTTCCTCGCTGAATGAAGCTTCACTTATCTCTAAGTAGCATTCTTTTAAAGAGACTCCATCTCTTTATCTATAGCCTCGTTCAAAAAATCATCAGAACTGTCTACTACTTCCTTGTAGTGACTAGGAACTTCACCCTTTATGGTTGAAAGTATAAATGCAGTGTGGTCCTTCAACCAAGTTGTTTTGGAATATTTTAGAATCTGATCCTACTCCTAGCAATTGATTTTTGAGCAAAAATCTCATCAGCAACATCATTTTCTACCTCCTTATCTACAATTGAATCACGTACTTTGGAAGAAATGATTTGCCTCCGTAGAACAAATGGATTTGCATCAAACTCCAACTTCGTAGTGCATCTGTAGTCCCAATAAAACTCACTACCTGCTTCGAGTCCCTAGGCTTTAACATGCTCACCTCGTCAAATGTAATATCCCTACTAATTACAATCTTTTTCTCTCCCTGATCATATAGTTTGAAGCCCCTAACTCCACACCTGAAGCTAATAAAAATTACCTTCTTTGCCATTGGTTCTAGCTGAACATGATATTAAGATGGATACCCATATATTCTTTAAGTACTCAAAATCTATTACATGATGACCCGACTATATATCCTTTGGGGTCTTTTTCTTAATCGCTAAAAAAGGCAGGGACTTCACCAAGTGACAAGCATAGTGTATAGCCTCAGCCTAATAGACTATATCCAACCTAGCACTAGATAACATACACCGAACTTTCTTCACAAAAGTCCTAGTTATCCTCTCTGCCGTCGTCTCTTAAATAGCGAAGTAGTGCTCTATCCTAAATCTCTGACACTCTTCCAAGAATGCATCCGAAGTATATTCGCCGCCATTGTTTGATCTGATACCCCATATTCTTTCACCAGTATGAGTTCCAATCCACTTTTTCCAAGTTCTGAAGATCTTTAGTACATTGCTCTTGTGCCTCATGGTGTACACCCAAATAAATATGAAGTAATTATCAACAAAAGAGATAAAATATCTTCATGTCTTCCTCAGGCCCCATACATATATTTTTTAGGGGCACGTGCCCTCCCTAAAAAAATACAACAAGTTATTTCTCGGCTAGGATTTTAATTTTTTTAGTAAGTGTATTTGCCCTATTATGACGCTCCTCCTCCACTCACTCAACCTAGAGCTCAGACGCATGCAGCACGCCTACACCTTCTCTACTATCTCGAGCCTACACAAATGTCTCCTCTACCTCGAGCCAAAACACCTGGTCTGCTCTACCGTCGTGCTTTGATCTTAGTCCAATGATTACTTTGCCAGCCTACTTCCTTTTTCGTGAGCCAAAACATATGGTGCCAAACAAGAAGTATGTTACAACTCTTATTGATCATTTGGTTGATCTAATGAAATGATCATAGATGAGTAGACTCTCTTTATAAGATTTATTGAGGTGGGACTAGAACCTCACATATCTGTAATAAAAGAAGGAAAATAGGGCCCCTATTTTTCATTTAGCCTTTATTGCACCACATAAATTTTACTATTTGTGGTTGTGCGGCACTAAATATTTTCTTCATGGCTTCTGACAATGTTGCTATGACAGCCTGAATTGGTTGCTAATCTGCTCAGTCTGACTTTCTCATTAAAAGAGTGATAGTCCCATCCTGTTCAATTGCTTGTCTGTCCAAAAAAGATGAACAAGTTTTTTTTTTTTTTTGGGGGAAAAATGAACAAGTTTCATTGGCTACTGCTGAAAAACGGTCTGCATAGGGATATTAAGTTTTTTTTTTGGGACATTTAGGCCAATTAAGGCAAACTCACACACACAACGCATACACATAGACTCGAACCTTGGACCTCTTAGTTGGAAGTCTAAGCTCTCAACCAATAGGCCAAGGAGAGTTGTGTATATAGGGATATTAAGTTGTGGTAGGCAAAATGGATCGATATGACTTGTGCTTGTAGGAGTGTCAATTCGGGTCAGTGGGTTGGGTTCGGGTTGAACTTGAGTTGACTCGGCTCTAAATGGGTCAACCCAAATCCGATCCGTTTTTGTAAAAGGGTCGGCTTTTTCAACCTGGACCTGACCCGCACGGGTTGCCGGATTGACACGACCCGACCCGACTCGGATTTTTGAAAATAAATCTCAAACACGCGGGTTCCGGTCACCACTCCCGGCGGCGAAGCGGCAGCACGTGAAGTGACGTGACTCGATACTTCGGGCAACGCGGGTAGCCAAGCTGGCGGGCACTCGACGCTTCGGGCAGGGCAGGCAGCAGACACGGGCAGAGGATTTTCGGGTTGCCGGGTCAACCCGAACTCGACCGTTTCACAAACGATTCGACCTGAACCTGGATTTTTCCTGGTCAAGCCCTAGTCAGGTTTCGAGTCATGTAAAAAATTGACACCCCTACTTGTGCGAACTCCTAAGTAGGAGAAATTATTCTGTGCGGAGACCAGATATAGAACGCCGTTCGGAGACTAACCAGAATGCGCCACATCAACGGTACCTAGCAGTACCGTGCCACCGTACCGAACACATGAATGATGTGGCGAATTCTTATTGATCTCCGGACGGCATTTGGCGTCCACACAGAATAATTAATCCCTAAGTTGTGGTACTCATTTGAGTGTTCACATGAGAGGCAGAATTAAGCTTTTAGAGATTATCTCTGAACTTTAACTTGTTTATAACCCTACAGTATGTGAAAACTTTGAAATTGAGTTTTGTGATTCAATCTATACCGATATTTAAGAGTATCAGAATCAAATAGCTTTAACATCTCTCAGACTACTTATAAGAGCAAATAGAGAATAAGGATTCATAAAACTTGTCTACAGAGTTGGGGAGGGGGTTAATATTTCTGGAAATAACTGCTCACAGCAAGAATAATGCTACGTTTACAACAAATAACAATTCTGTACAAATGCTCTCAGTATCCTGCATTTTTGTAATCTACCAAGCAATTGAAAGTTCAGAGTTTTACCGTCTGAACCGAAAGAAAGAAAGCTCACAAAAATAATGAACAAGAAATGTTCAACGAACTCTGAATTGGAGGTCTTCATCAAGCTACTTTTTTTCAGCCATAACTCTTCCTTCTTTTACCATTTGCAGCTCCTTGCTCCAATCTAACACTTGGGCTGCACTTCTGGTTCGATCAATGGCGGAAGAGGTGGCCTCATCATCTCATCGCTCATAGCTTCATCACCCTCCCTTCTTCCAGTTTTAATTATATCCATTTCAGTACCTTGCTCTACTGTACACTTGCTTGAAGCTTCAGTCTCCAAGCTTGAAACAATCACAAGGACAGCTCCATTATCACTTGGAAGAAGATCAAGAACTCTCTGACTTCCCTCTTCACTCTCATTCCTGCAAAATCTATCATTCTCAACATCATAAAAGTTCCCTGTTCTCACCTCCTGCGCCAGGGAGCATGACCAGCAGAAGAGCCATTTCATGAAATCAGAGAAAGCTGAAAACCCAAAGCAGCAAGGATTAGCAGGAAGCTTAAATCTCTTCCTCATTTGAACCCTCCAAAATCCTCCATATAGAAATCCAAATAGGCATAGAACAATTCCTGCAATCCCCACAACATATCTGATTGCGTAGTCATTTATATTAAGGGCTGTTACGCTGAAGACTAACACTGGTGCACTGCAGAGAAGTATGAAGGTGATGATATGAACATACATATTACCAAATCCAAGCCTCTCCATATTCCATCCGAAAATGCAGAAGGTGCAGAAGAAGGAGAGGCAGCAAACACTGACATCGTCACAGCAATCAAAGAGTCCTCCAGCCCAATCAGGTGAAGTCACCACCACACTCTTTTTGTATAATTTCAAATCATTCTCCTCGCCGTTGGGCTGCTGCGATTCTTCGTCATTCTCTGATACAGTCTTCCTCCCTAGAGGGCTGAAAACTGTGTAGAGGGCAGCAACAATTGGTGCTCCTGTTCCAAGAGCAATGAAGAGAATCTGTGGCCAGTCTGGCCTTGTCTTGCTAGTATATGCCCAGTAAAGAGCACAAAGGCCATACTGAGAGAAGCAAGTGATTTGAAGAAGGAAGACAACAAACATCATATGAGCCCTCTCATGTGACTTTTTTGTTCCATTCTTGCAGTAAACGTTTCTAAGCTCGACGATATCATTTGATTTCCACTGGCATAAGAGAACCAAGTGGTGGGAGATCCTGGGATGCTGATACAAACACATTATGGTGAATAATGCATTGAGGATTTGATTGAAGATCTCAGTCCACTTTTTTCTAACTGAGCTCTTTGGTATGTTTTGGTTGAGAATCCCAGTCATAAGTAAGAAGAGTACAACAAGGCAGGATGCAACAAAGAAGAGCCAGATAAGAAGAGCTATGTTCATTGGGTGCTTGACCCATTTCTTGCCATATCTAACCAGGGATCCCCAATTGATTTTTCTGACAAATGGAACTCGGAAGCGGCGGCGACCAGCATCTCTAGTGTCGGACGAGGTATCAGGCAAAGGAGGATTGCTGCTCATGCTTCACCTGATCTTGATTTCACCGACGGAAAGGGAAGAACTGTAAACAAAACCAAATTTAAGGAGCCGCTTATTTCTGGTTTGGCTTTGAAGAAATAAAGGAACCATTTTTAGCAGTGTTTCTGACTAGAATTCCAATTTTTGTTACAGTGATCAATACAAAGTGGTACAAACATTGAGAAGTTGGAACAAAGGCTCATCATATGATATCCCAAAATGAAAAAGATACAAAAAGCTGTAATTTATATTTAGTAAAGCTTATGTTTATTATTTTCCCCTATAATTGACTAGGTTATATATTTATATATTGCTTCTGTCCAAAAGAAAAAGCTGAAAAATGCGCCGTGAGTGTCTTTATTGCAAGAAAAAAATATGTAAAATTCTGAACTTGATACCAAATGTCAAAAATTAAAATAATAGTACTGTAATGTAGTTTTGACTTTGGTTATTTGCTGATTTTTGTCCGTGAATGCTTGAATTATAAAAAAAAACCTTTTTTTTTTCTTGACCTTATCAACGGCATGACCGTAGCAGCCACGACACTGGGACTTTTGACTCTTCTACTGATTGCGTCTGTTCCTACGAAGCTTTCTTACCCTTTCAATCATTTCTTCTCCTCTATCATCTAATTAATGAATCTACGTCTCTCTTCTACCTTGCTTATTTCCTGTCTAGTTCTATCAATTTGAACTTCTTTCGAAATCAGTTAAAGGGGCTGTTGGGTATCCTATATTAGGAAGGATTAATTAAGTAAGATTTAGCTCTGAGTCCCGCAAAACAGATTTACGGCGATTGAAAATCCAACTATTTTGATAAATCCAATTTCAGTTCCGTTATGCACAATCCAACATTTGTTAGATCAAACCCTTCAAATGATTTAATTTATTCAGGGAATTTTTCTTCTCACAAATCTTAAATCCTGAAAATAGCCAAAACAATTTATCAAACTGTAACAAAATTTAACTCAATCAAATTTTAACCCTCTCAAAATTTACAGAAGTCCCGATTTCAAATATTTGCTCCAATTCCTACTTAAGTTAAATCCAGCCCTAATTTTTTCTCCATCTGCATGTTTTCATAGATTTCAGAATAAAATCATCACTGACTGCTACAAGTAAAAAATCTAACCTTCGAACTAGTAAATCCGTGATTCAGCATGTATTATCAAAGAATTTCAATAAACTCCATATCTGAAACGGAAAACCCCCTTCCTTTCAAAGTCAGTGATTATATTCTTTGTACAAATCCGTTTATTCTTCAGAAATCAATCTAATGAACTCTCGAACTAATGAACATGACGAGAGAGAGAGAGAGAGAGAGAGAGATGCAGTACCTCTAAATCCGATTTCTTGAGCTTTCCCTTCTTCTTCTTCTTCTTCTTCTTCTTCTTCTCCGGTGCGTGAAGGAAACTACGAACTCTCATTTCCTCCTCTATATAGAGTTAAAAGCAAATGCATTAAAAAAAAGTTAGGAACGGACAAAAAACAACTCATAATATTCTTATTACATTTAAATTAAATTTTTATTTACATATGCGTTTGAAAATAAAAATTTTTATTATGAAATATAAAATAAAATAATAATACTTTTATATATAATAATATAATAATATAATAATAATACAGTTAATAATTTTTCAAAATCATTTCGCTAAAAATTATATTTGACCCATTGACCCACCCAACTTTTTACTGAAATCAATATTATTTTTCCTTTTTTATTTATTCATATTGAAAGCTTACAAATATGATATACTGAATTTATGATTTAACAATTTTTTTATTTTATAAAGTTTATTGAAAAACTAATTTTTAAAATTGTTATAGACATTAGTTTTTTAATATAATTTTTTTTAAAAATAATGAAAAATTAATGATGAAATAAAAATTATGATTATGATTTAAAAAATAAAATAAGAAAAAATTGTCTCATACAAAGTTTTAGCTAGGCTTCATTTACTTAAAAATTAAAAATATTTATGAACTCGATATTTTTATGTCAAAATGCTGCTATAAAAAATAATAACAAAATTATTCCTAATCAAATCTTAATTTATTCAAAATTTTAAAAAATAACTTTAAAATGAATAGGTCAAAATAAGACTGAAAGAGGTCAAAATAAGCAGCTGAATGTATCGTGCAGCGTCGGATATTCAAACGAAAGCTCCGGGAACAAAGGGAGGCTACGAGAGATTGGGATATTTATTTTATTATTTATTATTTTAGTAAAGAAGATTTGAAATGGTCGCTTGACGCTGAGAGCTGAAAGTGAAAGCTGCAAGGCCCAATGAGTTCAAATATGAGCGCAATAAATGTGCTGTGGAAAAAAAGTGGAGTAGGAGAAACGGTCGGTGTTTGAAATTCGCCATTTCTGACCGGTCCGGTTCACATCTCATGCCACTGATTGTGCCGATCGAGTCGGTGTGAATTAGACCGGATGAAAATTCAATTCACGTGGAATTGGTGATTGTAATAAATAAAACTATTTTTTTAAATAAAAATAATTGTAAAATGACTAAAAGAGATTCGAACTGAAGATTTGTGCTTTTATGAATGCATAACCAATGAGCAAGTTAGTTTTTTTTTTGTTTAAGGCTTTTTTGAGACAATTTTTTTATTGATTTTTAACAGTATTTAGGATGATTTTCTTAGTAATTTTTAAAATAGCTTTATAGTACAAAAATTTTATTGTACTAGAAAGCTATTTAAAAAGCAATAAGAAAGCCGCCCCAAATAGGCTAAAAGTAGCTTTCTAGTGCAAAAATTTTTATACTAAAAAACTGTATTTAAAAAGTAGTGAAAAAGCCGTCCCATATGAAGCCTAAATGTTATGCCGACTTATTATTTTCTTCATGCAAACTTCAAAGTCTATTGGAATATGTTGAATGCATTGTTTTAGATTTAAAATTGACCATAAGAAATTTAAATGCATTATTTTTTGTGTATTGGGAAAATTATGATCGCAGAGCGAAAATTTTATGTCTTATCTTTGCATAGAAATCTACACACAGATAATGAAGTTTGTATGCGACAAAAGAAATTTCACATGAAAATTTCAAAAAAGGAAAAAAAAACTTGGGGTTTGACACAATTAAAATAGTTCAATATGTAATTAAGAGTTTATTTGGGATAGTTTTCTCGTTACTTTATTTTTAAACAACAACTATAATTTCGTTTGAGTGCTATTTTTTTTTAGATTTTAGAAATTTTTGTGATTGGAAGTTGCTTTTTATAACTATAATAATTGAGTTATTTTCCACATAGCAACTTTACAATCAATTTTATAAAATGTTGCAGTCGCCCTAAATAGACCATAAAATTATAAATGATCTTCTCCATGATTAGAGAAGAAAATATTATGAAGTATAAACTATCATCTTATGGTCATGTGGATGTGTTGGATAATATGGAAGTAGTGAAAAGGACAACCAAGAGATGGAAAATGAATGATAAATGTTAACATTGTTAGTAGGTGATGACATTCAGAAGAAGTGTAATAATCCGTATTTTGATCAAGGTAAATAGTTTCTTTTTTTCTAGAGTTAGTATAACTCCAAATTGCAAATCATCTTCGTCGTAGCATTGAAATTATGGTATTTTAATTACACAACTTTTTTTTTCAATTTTAGGGCATCAAAATTGGTATCAGAACATAGTTGTTGGAAAAATTGATTGAAATCAGAGCTATAAGAATTGATTGAGAGTTTGATAGAATTAATAATTTAGGGTGAATTATTTTGCATACATAATTGATTTCATATGTGTATTATTCAGATTATACTAAACCAATCAGGTAAACAATTAAAATGGATATGTCATAGTCAAATATACCAAATAAACAACAAAGTGCAACTCCAGTGTCATTAGATAGTATGATGCAGTTAGCTACTATTGTAGCATAGGTAATAGGGGATGCACAGAGTAAGTCAGCTGGAAGCAAAGAAGAAGAGGGAGACAAGCATTTGTAGATATTTCATAAGATAAAGCCTCTATTGTTCAAAGGAACTATAGATCTCAGGTTGTAGAAGACTAGTTTTTGAGAATTGAAAATATATTTGACAACATGCGATGTATGGAGAGCCAGAAGGCACCTTTGGTTGTGTACCTCTTTGAAAAGGAGGCAGAGAGATGGTGGATTGGACAATAGAGAGAGAAATTTCAAGGGAAGACTAATGATGAGATTAGTTGGGATGACTTCACTACATTATTCATGTTGTGGTTTGTACCTCCTTCAGCCCGACGACAGATGTAGGAAGCTTTTATCGAATTGGAGCAAGGACATAAGACAATGTAGTATGAGGCCGAGTTTTCTTCCCTTGCTAGGATTGCTCTTCATTTGATACTGGTGAAGAAAAGTGTTACAAGTTTCTATAAGGGTTAAACAGGGAGCTGAGACTTCCATTAGTGCCACTACAGATTCAATAGTTTTTTGAGTTGGAGGAGCAGACCAGACTTATAGAGATTGATTTGATAGTACCAACATCAATATATGAGGTGAGCTCCATATATGATGTCAGTAAAAGAAGGAGCATAGATGAACCAAGCTGAGAGAAAATGATAGTGACAAGAAAAGCAGGTATAGTGATTCGAGGGGATCTACATCAGTAGCATCTTCTGGCTGCTACGGCGAGTGCATTCATTATATCGACGACATACCGGTTAATGCTACTTGTTGACGGGGCGATGTTTTTGATGTGGACAATAGAGACATAAGGTAGTAGACTGCCCTTAGAGGAGATTTGTAAGAAGAAATGATTCTGGTGCAGAACAATCCAGACATGTTGTAGGACAGAGGACTGTTGAGTCAGAGCATACAGTGAAAGATCGGAAACGATATTTTCTTAAAACGAGTAGATTATAATAATCGTATTTTGACCTAAATAAATATTTTTTTTTCTAGAGTCAATATAACTCCAAATCGCAATTCGTCTTCACCATAACATTGAGATTGTAATATTTTAATTACACGTTCTTTTTTTTTTTTTTTTTTTTTGTAATTCTGGGGCATCACAAGAAGTTCGTCGGGTAACGACGATTAAGTGATACTAGTCGAGCAACGACTATGTTGCGATGACAAAAAAAATGGTGGCAAGCAATAGCATTTGGGTGATAGAACACGTGTGACAACAACTAGGCAATAAAAGTTTGATTGCGATAGTTAAATATTAATGGGAGTTGGTCGACAACAATTGCTAGCGATGATTGTTGAAGTCGATAGTTAGGTAAAGCGTTGATATTTCATATGTTTAAATTATCTTCAATTTTAAATTTCTTTCATATAAGGAATGTAGATTTATTTATAATTTTTACTGACAGTCAAAATCATCAAATAAGATTGCTCTTTAGATATTTTAGTACCATATAGTACATGTATTAGTGATCTTGAACTCATTTTGGCTTGAGTGGACACTCATTTTGATTTTAATACGCGAGTTTTTAAGATTGTTTGATTACGCTAAATAGCATCATAAATATTTCAATTACTTGATTCAAGTTCATTTGGACTATGACTAAAATAGTTTTGGTGTCCTTAGGATCATCACATCTAAACATTTATTTTGATTATAGATTTGCTAAAATCGAAGTTTAAATTCTCATGAAAATAGTCTTGATAAGTTTTTTATTTATATCTTTCTCTATAAATGAATTTTGTAATGGCAAAATCTAAAATGATTAAAAAAAAGTACCAAATTTAATAAAAAAATTTAAATTTTATTGAAAAAAATAGGTGTTATTGATTTCTCATCTATAAAGAGGTATGATATTATCATGTATATAATATAGAACATTGATTAGTAGTCGATGTGCATAACCCCTTCGACGGGACTTTGATACCCCTAAAAAGGGGGTTTTTTTTTTTTTTTAAGATCTATCAACACTCAATTGCACTGACATAGACCCCTAAAAAGGAATTTTTATTGCGTCCTCCCACCTGACGTAGAGATGCGTCCTCTCAACGTCAAAAAACTCGGTTTTTGCTCGGTATTGCTAGATATTATTTGGTAATAATGAGGAAGATCATCATGTGAAGACCAATACGAAGTTATACCGAGCTATACCGAGCAATACCGAGCACATACCGAGTTTTCTCTAGGAAAAACTATGTATTTTTTTGTATTGCTCGGTATTGATCTTCACATGATGATATTCCTTGTTATTGTTTGGTATTGCTCGGTATTTGCTTGGCATTTCTCATTTTTTAGCGCGATTTTAGCTCTGGGAGGACGCATCTCTACGTCAGGTGGGAGGACGCAATAATAATTCCCTAAAAAGGGGTTATTTGTCCCCATTGAGATCTATTAGTTCTGAGGGCGGTGAACTACAAGTATAAGCTAAAGATAAAATATCTCTTTTGGACGAATTGGATTAGATGTAGGAAGATTTTTTGCCCTATTTTGAGAAACATATTTTCTTCTTCAAATGGTTCAATTATATTCAAAATTTAGTGTAGAGATATTGATTGATTTA